TTGTTCTTCATATAAATTATTACTTGCTGTAATTCAACTAGAAATATATTAGCACTCTGTTACTGGGCTGAGAACCGAAAGCACTTAGATCCTTTAGGAAGGAGACTTTATGGTACGTAATGCATCACACTATTGACTTTTATTTAACTTACAAATAAGTAACTTCTCTATTTTCTCTGCCAGACTGCTTGCTTTGCAACATGTCTCCAAGGAATTATGCTCTCTTCAGAGCCAGCAGGCTGCCCAGAGCAGCTTTCTTCTCTTGGACACAGCACACCACTACAGCAGGAGCAAAGCAGGCTACCCCTAAGGGAAATGCCACTGCCAGAGCCAGCCAGCGTGTTTCCTTGCTTCTTCCATCCTTTGGGTATTTTTTACCTTGCTGTCCCCTGAAAAGCTTCAAGGAGACAAAGTCAACTACTTAAAATATATTAATATGAAAACATAAGAATAATAGCCAGTAAGAGGTGGTGAGAAGAACAAGAAGATATTTCTTGCCAAAAAAAGCAGTATATAAACATAAGAGTGGTGAAAAGCTCTCCTCATAACAGGATGAAAGAAATCCCATGCAGAGAGAAAAGACAGTGTAAGAGAAGCAATCTAGATAAATCACATCTCTGAAAATTAATTTCAATTTCTGTGGAGTGTAACAGGCTTTCTTCTCAACATCACAGAATAAAATTCCAGGGATTATGTCCTCATTTTGGTGCATATTATATGATGTTTCCCTGATCTTTGTCATATGCAAAGTCCACATTACAAGGAGCTACCACTCTCTGTTTCTTGGTACAGACTCACCCATCATCCTAGTTAGGGAGATTTACCTTTTTCTCATTCTTTCTTTCTTTTATCAGTATGTACATATCCAGGTCATGATATGCCAGTTTACAGTGTTTGTTTCATGTGTTTGAGAGGTTAAGAAAATTTCACTGTATGTAATAATAATGGATTGTAAGTCAAGCCAGATAGCTCAGACAGAATCACAGCACATAAAATAATTTCCTTCCCTAGCCCCAATATTCAAACAGCATGCTCTCCAAGAGCCAGACTAACGCCAAGGAAACTGCAAGTACCATTCAAGGCAACCCCCTGTATGCTTTTGCTTCTTACAGTGTTCCAAGCAGAAATTGTTGAATACACCTGAGAAGTTTTAGGAGCCCAAAGGATGGGGAAGCAGGGAGGAAGCCAGAGCAATTCTAAGAATTCAGTAATGTTTCCTCACTAGAACAGAAAATTCAACAGCAGAAGAGAAGTCTGACAGTATGTAATATGTTTGACAAGTTGACTAAAATTAAAGTATAAACAAACCCAATAAAAATATTATAGGTTTAACCTTAGTTCTCAAAATAAATAACAATAGAAGTTGAACAAGTAGAGCCTTTGAACTGCCAAATGCAAAAAGCAATTTCATAAAATTAGCATTAGAAACAAAGTTTGTAACCAGGGAGTACTTATAGTCTTTGCAACATCAATACTGCTAATACTGTTAAACGCACTTTAAAAGAATAATTTCCATAATGTTAACACAACAGCTAAATACTGCCTATCTGCTAATGGCTCTATGCATATAGCTGACCTTCTTTTTATGCATAAGAGCACTGTACTTATCTAAATAAGTCCCATGAGTTAGACCACCAGCAAAAAATCCTGACATATCAAAGTAAAATTCATAAAAAGAGCAGCCAGTGACTATCTCTTAAAAAAATGAGCTAGAAAGCTCACAACAAAATTGCAATATCTGCCAAGGTCTTTCAACTTATTCAAGGTTTCTCCTTTTATACAGCAATGCAGAAAACAGATTTTTCTTTTATATGTGTTATCACAAAATGACAGAGACACAGTCTCTCACAAGTACACATGCAGCCAAGGGACACACACCAAGAAAGGGAAAGAGTGAAATTGAGCCACAAGTCCCACTGTTAGAAGGATTAACACTGGATGTGTCACAATTCACACCATAACCTCTTCTACAGTTGGGCTGGGTATCGTGTACATTCATCAAAAAAAACTGTTCTACAAAAATCCCACAAATCCCCTTTGAGACTGTCATCAGTTTAAATAACCCCTGCTCTTCTTGACCAGTTCCTTTCCTTTGGTACAAAGATGGATGAGCCAACCCCACTTGCAATCAAGGGTCAGGGCTCTACATCAGAGCCAGTCTAACACTTCCCTTTGCTCCTTCTTCCATTGGAGGGACTAGGGTAGAGACAAGGACGAGGAAGCAATGGTGTCTCTAACTACAGCAATTCAAAAACTGAAACTAAACCTAATGTTTCCATTTACAAAAAATGTTCTGGAGCTCAATAATCACAGCAGGACTGCTTTGGAGCTGCTTTTAGGATGAGAAGCCTAAAGCAGAAATAGTGAAATTGCACAATCAATTATACACATTAAAAGCATAAATGCAAACTGAATTCAATCTTTGTGGGCATATTCACAAACCCCAAATTAGATAACCACATGCCAGGGTTTGCAAAGGACTCCTATCTTATTTAGCACACAGAACAGATTTTCTAAAAAATCCTCCTAACTAATGCAGCTGAGTATACACTCTATGTTCATAGTCCCAGACACTCTGCAGCCTTTCCTAGTACTAATTAATGCAGCAAACTGGTTCCTGAGTCCTTCCTAGAAGGACACTGCAACACACAGCACCAGCAAAACTGCATTCACACTGCTCAGTGCTTCTCACACCCCAGAATGCTAATGCTTTAAATATTAACTGATCTGTCTTAATGCAATAATAACCACTTCAGAACTTCCTATCCAAGAACTTCAGAACTTCTATCCAAGAAATAAAGAAATGGGGAAAAAATATAAAAGCTGTTGCATATAATCAATTTTGTCTTAACAGTCAGAAAATGAGGTGCTGAGTTCTGTCAAATAAAAATGCACAATGCCCAAGTCTTTTAATGTAACTTCTACTATGTTGCATTTCTGTAACAAAACTTTAAAAGTTAATATGGTTAAGTGACAGAAACTGTTATTCTCTTATTCTTACTAAAAATAGAATCCTTGCATTTAAAGCATTCCATAATTTATCAATAATTTTCACAGTATCATATGGTAATAAACCCCACACTACTGCATGCGTTGATCAAGTTAAGCAGAGTATGCTCTGCATTTTGACTTTCTAAAAGCCACGTATTTCACTACTATAGGCATTTCTGCAGTTTATTTAAATATCATTTAAATTTTTAATGACACAGATCTTGAAACTTTCCATTTTTTTTTATTCTCAGCTGCTTAGAAGAGAAACTTAGTATTTTCTTATTATGCCCTCATATACCAGAGCTTTTAGGTGGTACAAAGTCTTCTGCACTTCCACACCAATCATGAACTACTAACCCTTACAGCAGCTATTCCACACTTATCACAGAAAATAATGTCTGAGTTACCTGAACATAAACTAAACTACAAATGCTTAATGCTGGAAAACTCTTAAAAGGTTAGCCAGTATGGTTACAAATTACTTTCTAAACCACTTATATTTTTCATAAAATTTCTTCTGTTCATTCTTTTACCTCAAACTTTCACCTTTTACCATTTCCTCAACAAAACCTTGCAACATAGTAAAATCAGCATTAAATTGTTTGTGTATTTCAGCATGCAAAATTGTAAAAGCAGTAAGAAAGCCATGAGATGATCATTCTTTAAATAAGGCACAGATGTTTTACTCCTCTTTGCTTTTAAAACACAAAGTTCTCTTCTACACAAAACTGAAATTTATTAATAAATATAAGATCCTGCCAGGCAGTGGCCATGTCTGAGCAGAACCACTCAGGCTGACAATACCAGGAACAGAAAGTTAACTCTGTTTCCACAGTTCTCAGATGAGACTGCAACCTTTGCCAGCCTCCTCACAGTAGAGAGGAGAGTGCAGGCAGCAGTCAGATGACTGTGCAACTGCTCATCTGTGACAATGACAGCTGATAAAACTAGTTCATACTTCACTACATACCAAAGGAAAGATGCTGCTTATTAATGCAGCTAGTAAGATGATTAGCTTCAAGGTAATGGTAAGTGCCCTGTGTTAAGTAATAGTCCAGAAAAAGAAAGATTTAAAATACCAGTTGGAAAAATAAACACTTTGCTTAACAGGAGGTTGCCCTTGAATGCATTCAAGTGCAGAAGAAAACCTTGCCAAACCAGATGGTTATTTTGCTTGTATCTTTTTACTACAGAAATACAGTTGCTAGATAGCAAAGGATACACCAAAAAAAAAAAGAAATCCCAATATGCACATACCAAATCTGCTTTACAGAAATTACAAAAAAAAATTTAAAAAAAACCCAAAACTCCCCTTCCTGTAACCTGTATTTAAAGATTAAAAGAAATAAATATTTCTCAGAATAGCAAGGACGAAGAAATCAAAATTATAAAGCTACACACCAAGGAAATGAAAGATTTACATGAATACTTTCCATAAACCTTTATAGCCATGCCTCACAAGAAACATGTGCACTTCCTCTCTCTCTTTGATACTGGCTCAATTCTAATAGGAATGGTCCTGTTGAAAGTAAAAGTCATTGTTTGAAGGTTACACTCTGGTAAAAATCATTCTGCTATGATTTCTGTTGGGAAGTGGCTCATTGTGTATTGCAATTCAGTTCCCAGTGCTATAAACTGTGGTTCAGCATCAAAATTATGACTGAAAGTGGCAGCTATTTAGAGAGGTACAAGCAAATTAGGAAGGGATGAGAATTAAAACTGTCAAAATTTCCCAGGTTTTCAAGTCACATTATTCATAAATTTAAGCGAGTACAAGGATATTTGTTATGCAGGTAAAACTGTGCTAACAGCATAAAATGATAAAAGCTCAGTCACATCACTGATCCTCTGGGAGTATTTATGACCTCTGATACATATGCACAACACGTCCAACTTCAAACAAGTATTCTGCTAAGAGCAGAATCTCCTTTCTTCCTCTCCTCCTTCCTTGGAGCAAGTCCAATAAAAAATGATTAAGATTCACAAGCCTTACTATAAAGCACACTTACCGGTGCTGGATTCTCTTTAGCTTCCACACCAAAAACATCCCGTTGTTTCACTGTCAGCAAATCAACACCTTCAGTATCATCCTCGTCATCATCATCATCATCTTCAAAGAACTGCATGGAGTCTGAGTTTGGTTCTCTGTTGGGTACATGAACTTCTTTTTCTTCCTCCTCAGACACTTCTTTTGATTCATCCTCAGACTCGCCACTCTCCTCAGCACTTCCACTGGAAACAGAACATTCCTCAGCTTCTTTTCTTCTCTTCTTCTCTTTTGTTTTGTTAACTGATGTTTTTCCACTGAAATTAGTTCCACATTTCTCCACTGTTTCCTCATTTACCAAGGTGAGGGCATTCTCATTTTGCTCTGTCTCCTCCAATGGGTCTGCCGCATTGGCTGCCTCGTTTGCACACAGCTGCTTCTGAACTCTTTGAAGGAATCTCACACGAGGTGCCATTGCAAGACCAAGTGACCTAAAACATGGAATTAACCGAATAAATTTAAAAGGCAGATACACAAAATTTAGAGCATCAATTAGAAGCTCTCATTGATGGCTCAAGTGATTCAATTTCAATTATCATTCATATTGATACATTTGATCAACACATTTAGAAAAGTCTAAAATACAAGTAAACATTGGAAGGGGAAGCAAGGTGAAATAACTGAGAACTCTCAATAACAATTACAAGCCTCCCAGGAAGGAAAGCAAACAAAGAAGCTGCTAAGTTGCAGATAAGAGCCAATTAACTATCTATGATTCACAGTAAAACGTGGTGGAAGAAACACCAATGTAATTTGGTATTGAAAATACATGGATTTCATGTCAAGGACTGAGATAACACTGATCTGTCAAGTGTCCTTCACTACTGGAAGCACACCCAGAACATTATCCCCCTGCCCTCGCAGTGACTGAGATCAGCAGAACAAACATGGTATGGATGAATAACCAACTGCAGAAAAAGCTAGGGGAGAGACATTTCTCCCTTAAAGGCAATTTCATCTGCTTCCACCTCTCTACAGCAAGGCTTTACCTGCATGGCATACATAACTAACAGTGCCAGCAAAGCTGTTATTTTACCCAGTTATTCATGACAATTCAAAGTTATACTAATAAGCATTACACGAAGGGGCAAAAATTGCAGAAAAAGCAAAAATTCTGTCTAGAAAAAATAGTGGAGAGCACTGCATGGGAACAGATACCTTGACTCCAACAGCCCATCTGACTTTGTGACTGTCCACTGTTATTACACCTGACCCTGTCAATTCCAAATTAAAAAAAAAAAAGCAACTCTGATTTCAGAGTTCATGAGCCATCTCATTAGGTGAATAAAAAATGTGAGGGGACGCTGGTACTGGTGCAAGGAACACACAGAGAACCCATGATACAGAACTGAAAGTAGTACCTGGTGCTTGTACATGCACTTCAAAAGGAATAAAGGATTTAACCATATACAGTGACTACAGGCATCCACACCTGTTAAAGACCAGCTTCTTTCAACTCAAAACACGCACAGCTATACACCACCTTTCCTCTCAATGCTGTTCGAGTAGATAGCATAATTTATTATTTTCACTATACAGCCTGTGAAAAAACCCACGTTATAGCACAGGAGAAATATCTAATCCATACTACCCAGCAGAAATGTCATAAAAAGTTGATTAAGCACCCAAAAGATACTGCAGAGCAGCAAGAGTGCACTGTAGGCTCTGGAGAGCCTTGAACTTTTAATGGTAGCCAATGGGAAATGCTAGTCAAAAGGAGTGTCCTGCTTAAAAAAACAAACAAACAAACCCAACTGTAATCACCCTGTGCTTAAAGAGGGCACTTTTGGTACCAGCCACAGGTTAAAAATAGACACAAACCCAAACAGCAATCCACAATGTTAGGATAAAGAAAAAATATTCCAACAAATAAAGTTTATTTTTAATGTAAAAATTTTGGTTTTGTGTTTCTGATAATTCAGTACTGTTCTACATGCAATTAACAGCAATAACAAAACAAATAGAATTTTATTTTAAAATATCAAAGGAAGTTTTTATCCAATGTATTTTGCATATTTACTGACAGTGTAGAGGATAACACTGTTGGGAACTGAAATTGGAGCAACTAGAGATCTTAAACTCGTTTTACTGTTTGACAGCAAACACTAATTACCTTTGCAATGAAATGATGTGTTAAAGTTTGGCCTATTGACTAACTGTAATGGAAATAACCAAACAGCAGATGTAATGCTTCACTGCAGCAGCTGGAAGCCATTCAAACCTGGAATTGGGCCTTAACAGCAGGCACAGTAAAACACTCATCAAGAGATTGCTGCATTCAATCTCTTCAGCAAGGAGATCGAAGTTGCAAAAATCAAATCCTTTGGAAGACAAATGCTTTTTTGCTTTTCCAGATATCACATTATTCTACATAACATATTGCTGTCAAGTGTTGACATAGCAATGCAAGCAGCAATACTGTATGGCAACTACACAATCAGTCCTACTTCTCTTTCTCAAGCAGACAGGCACAAGGTACACAGGGTTGAAAACTGATTTTATCAGAGCTTTTCTTCTACACCTCCAGAGCTAGCATCAAAAATCAGGAATACACATGCATAGAAAAGTCTGACAAGGTGAAAAACTATTCTCTGTTCAGCAAAAGTTACAAAACAGAAAGAGCAGCCCACGATGTGGACAGGACTTCATATCACAGATCTTTTTTTCATTCAAGTATGAAATTCCACTTGTCAGACTGCCGTAATGCACTGATGTCTTACTTTAATAATTGAATAAAATTAATTGTCAGTTAGTCTTGGCAATTTTTTATTCACTGCTTAGCAAGCCTACCAAAAAAAGACTAGTGCTATCAGAATTCAAATTACTTCCAAAAGAACACAGACCTCAGGCAGAAGGGAGAGAAAAGGTCACATTTATTTGGTAAGACAGTAATAGTAGATAAGCTTAGAAAAAGTGTATTAAATACTTTTAATTACATAACTTCTCAAAGAAATGTCAGTGTTTTGGTCCATTACTGCCTCTTTTTCATAGTATATTCCAAATGGAGAAAAATCTGGGACAAACAGTCTGGACATTCTACTACTGCTAAAAGCTTCCCCATATTTTAAGATTTGACAGTTTCTTTTGAAACTATTTCTTAATTATTCACCAAATCTATAGTTCAGTCATACTGAAACAACTCAATGTATGAACCAGCCTTTCTTTTCATAAACTACAAAGGGCATTATTAGTTCTCAATAATTCATTAGATGCCACTCAGATCACAATCCTACTATGACTGAAGTTGCAGATATTTTTTTACTTTAGTGCAACCATTTCACATACTCATCTGGAATAAGAGATGTGCAGGGTTTTCTGATGAAGACAGACAAAAAGCAGGTAAGTTATTTAATGAGCTTTCATAAATCCTAACAGACAACACTAAAAACACAGTAACACCACAGTGTAGTCTTCAGACTATGGTAGCCTTTAAATGGCAACAACAACTCAGCTGACAAACCAAAAAATCCTGTTTTGTATTTTGGTGTGAAATGCAATGACTTCTTAAGAGCAAGTTCTTCTAGAAAGACATTTGAAATCAGTTTCTAAAGACAACACTGAAACCAAGGGAGTGTTTCACTACTATAAATCAAAGTACAGCTGACAGTTCTATGGGTTCAGTTCCTCAGCTGAAACCAAGGTGGCTAGACATCAGCATTCCCTAACACTGATTAGGGAATGCATAGAAGTAACTACACAAATGACCTATAATGCTCATGTACCTTTTTTAATTTAGTAGCAAGTTCACAAGGACTTCCAGGAAATAAATTAAAAGAGTAAAACTGCAAAGTAACACTGTATGGCTTTAAGGAGAATTCCACTTTTGTTTCCAGTGAATACTGAAGATCAGGTGTCAATTATCTTTTTTTTAATGAATTTAAATGAACGGTGTAACGGACTTTAAATACTGCCTCTTCTAAGGCTTGTGAACTGTGCTTATACAAAGACCTGGAGTGTGTTTATATTAACATGGTAACTTTGCCTCTACTGGGATGAGAGAAAAACTTGACATCTCTCAACTCTTTAGAAAGACCAAATCTTAGACACTCAAAGCAGTATCTATCTTTGCAAAAAACAAATCTAAGACCAGAAAAATTTTAAAATTTTAAGTTTGACAAATGCTCCTAATTTGCTCCTAGAAGATTACTAGTCCTTTTTACAACATGAGCCAGCTGTAAACTGCTTCAGAACAATTTTACACAAGTTACTGATTTAGTCTGATATTAAATTAGCACATTTACTAAATATAGACATATTCCATTAGTGATCTACTTCAGAATGATGTGAACGCATAAAAACACAGCACAGAGATTACTTTTACTGTGGTACAGATTCAGACAAAGACCTAAAATAGGTTGGAAAAGGTTAAGTACTCCCAGAAGCTATTTCAAGAGAAGAAATATGTATTACTTGCCTAGCAATACATGCTACATCCACATTTAACATTTAAAATGTTATCAGAAGAGAGGATGAGCAACCGTTTGAAAACGGGAGAAATCACATCAGCTGAAAAGACACAAATCTGAACTAACAGGCTATCCAGATGGTCTGATTAATAACCAAAATGAACAGAGAAATTCTGTTTGCTGTGCTATTTACTTTACCAGCCAGCTTTATTCCTCTCCATCAAGGAGTTCAAGTGCCTGGCACTCTATTAATAATGAGGGCCAAGCTATTCAAGACTTCATGGGTCAGGAGCAAAGAGAAGGAGAACAAAGAGGATGTCATGGTCACAATCTAATAATTCAGAAGACCAAGATGCAGCCTTCCTTACCAAAGGAAAAGGAACCTCCACATTGCAGTTCCAAACCCTGGTGGTCCTCCTTGGTACCTGAGCCACCCTGACACCTGCTCAGAGGGCAACACAGCAGAGCACAAGCAACAAGGTTTTCTAGAGTGCATTAAAAACCCTTTCTCCAAGTTAGCTGGCTTAGCCAACTCTGATAGGCACTCTACTGGAACTGCTACTCATGCATATGCAAGTACATTCGCTTCCAAGGTGACTGAAGGTCAATAGCCAGCTTGGCTGCAGAATGAGGAAAGATAGCTCAAGATCCTAGAAGAAATGAGGATGATGACTAAGAGAATAATGACCCTGGACTTTGAAAGAGGAGACTGCAGCTTCTTCAGAAAGCTGTAGGCAAAAGTTTACAGAAGTAGTTACAGAAGCTCAGGAAGGGACAGCTGGATCTCAGGTGTCTGAGGGGGAGCTCAATGAGGAACACCCAAACTCTGCAAATGACTGGAGGGAATGCTGAGGTATGTATGAGCAATAGCATACAAGGCTGACATTAACCAGGTAACAGCATGAGAAATACTAAGTCTGGTTACAGGTGCATGAAGACTGGAAACAACAGGGGAAAAGTAATTAGGAGCTATCTTTTTAGTTAGGAGATTAGCATGTAGAAAAGTAAGTATAAGGAGAGCCAGAAGGAGGGCCAAGAACCAACAAAGAGACAACAAGACATGCAAGGACCACAATGGGCACTGTCTGAGGATGAGACAGACAGCTGTGAGCAAGGTAACAAATAAAACCTTCTGCCCTGACCATGCAGTAAGGGTCAGGCCAGGGGTGGTGATTAGAGTGCAGTGGGTGTTTTCCCTGGTTAGTGAAAGGACAGACAGAGGTGGACAGATGGATCATGTATTCTGCTATCACCTATCACCTTTCAGTCCTGACAGCACCTGCAGCTACCTACTGCTTTTTAATACTGATCTGCAAGCAATACTTGCAGAACTATCTGGATACTAAGGAGTGTGTATCTGACATTTTCCCAATAATTTGGCTTCAATTGTTTTATTTATTCTCTATGTACCAATACAGGGAGAAACAGGAAAATATGCTGCATTTCTCCTGAAAGACATGACTACAGTCACAAAGAAAATTACCTTCCCTGGCAGCCCCTTAGAACTGTGGCTAACCTGTCCATCCAGCACACTCACCTGATAAGATCTGCCCCTGGAGAACAATGTATAGATATATGTATGTGTTAGCAGCTAGCAACAAAGTGCCCGAGAAAGAAACTATATTTCAAAACACTGCCTCCTCTCCAGGAGACCAGACTATGTAATTATTCCTTTTCACCCTGTTGTTTGTTTACATTTTCTTATGCTTTCAAAGCTGTCCTTTGCAATCAAAAGACAAATTTCTCTTTTTAATGCAGCATTGAGCTTCTCCTTCATCAGACTTAAAGGCTGCCTATGTTAACACAAGGCCTACACAAGTCTTCCTCCAGCAAATTATTCTTGATAGCAATTTATAATGAGAGAATACTGGAGAGAATAGTAATGCACCCGAGCTTAAAGGTAATCAATCGCTAGAATAGATGTGTGTGTGCGTGCATACATTTTTTATATATTTTGTTTTATATATCTTATATATATATGATCTTATATAAGATATAAAAATGAAAAATACTTGCTCTTCTGCAGACTCAATCAACAGAGCTTAAGAGAATCTCAGTGCACAGACATGCAAAGCAGGAGAGCAATGGGGAATGTGGGCAACAGCCTGCAATGCAAACCTGACAGGGGCATTAAGCAGCCTATTTTCTCTGCAGGATTTTTAGTGGAGCAACATCTATCAAGTTAGCAGTAAATCTCCACGGAAAGGCTTAAGTACTTTCAGAAAACGCACACAAGGTAAAGGGAAGAAAGGATTCTCATTTCAGGTTTTGCCATAAATTTGTGTGCAGAATGGAAACCAAGGTCGGTTTGGATGCAAAATTCAAACATACCAGACTTTGAGGGACTTTCATATAAATGAAGACGGCTGATCCATGTATCAGTGGCTCTGCACTGAACTGCAGGGTGTATTTTAGTTAGACTAGCAGTCTGGAGAGTGGGGAAGAATAGTGCCACCAAACTAGAAGAGAATCTCCAAATTATCTCCCAGATTTATTATCTTCTGACTTTTTGATTATACTGCCACATATTTCACAGCCTTGACTAAACCTCTCCTACTCTCTCCAAACAACTGACTGGTTTCTTGCATTTTATTACAGGAATGACATTAGTAGCTTTCCAAAGCTGAGACTCAGAATTATTTTGAGGAAGGTCCAAATCTGGGCACACAGACCTGAGAAGAACAGAACTGTAGACTACTCCATCTACAGATACTAGATGGCAAACCATGCTGAAATCCAGAAAGAGGCACTAGGATTCTGCAAATTCAGCATTACCACCATCTGCTAGTCTGTTTCTAACACTGGCTGAATTTGCACGGTTATCCCTCTTAGCCCTAATTTTCTGCCACTATTCCTTATATTCATAGCACAGTAAGACCTACAACTGATTTTAAAGATGCTGAGAAACCACACAAGAGAATGGTCAGGCATTGCATGTAGCAAAAATTTTTGAGCTTATGCTAGTTCTCCTTTTTTCAAAATGTCTCAGCCCATGAAGTTAAAAAGCATCTTTTCTAATAGGCTTATGTATCTTAAAAAGCATAATCATGTTAATGACAGCACAGCACAGAAAGACCAGGTGTTCCAGAGTCTAGTAATTTGTCACATTTTAGTTCATTATACCATGTGATGGCAAATTAGCCTTCTCTGTATGAAATCCCACACATATCAAATTAATTTACTGTGAACCTTTGAACACCTTGCTGCTCCCTTACGACTACCCTGTGTCCCCATGAGATTTCAAAAAATTTACATCTTTAAACAATTTCAAGGGGCTGTCATCTGTACAGTCAACCTGTCAAAATTAATTTCCCTCCCATACAAAATATGGAGTGATTCACATAGGTGTACAAAAATAGACATAGCAAAATAGATGCTATTCAGTCTAGTGCAGATGCTTCATCATTACCAAACACACAGAATCTTCTGAAAAGTAATTGATGGCCAAAGAGAAATATCTGAATCATACTCAAAAAGAGACTCCAATACATAGTCTTTAGATAGCTCCAATTTCTTTTTAAATAATACACTTTACAGGCTGGTATTTAGCTATGAGGCTGAAGGGCAAATCTGGGGAGGGAAAAAACACCAAAACATTATTCTCTATCATTTTACTTCAGAAGTTATGTCTTCTAGTATATATAGCAAATGTACCTTGTGCCCTAAGTTATTTCTCTGTACAGCATATATTGCCTTTACACATAATTTCCATTTAGAATGCTCTTGAAAATATGCAAAAGCTCAGCATAAATATGAAACTAAATACACTAGAAGACTAGAAGTCCAATTCTGTGTTAACACAATCAATACAGCTATTTAAAGACTGCAAAACATCTCACTATACAGCTTTCATATTTTAAGTTGACCGTACTTACAGAGCATATTCTGCTAGAGGCAATTTGAAAACATCAAATACTTCCTTGTTCTTCATTAAGTAAACTGAACGCAAGTAGGATACAAAACACTGAAAGAAAAATGGAAGTATTCAACAAAAAACACACCATTCAATTACCAACACAAGAAACAAACATTATATTGTTGCTCTAAACACAAAATATAATTTCACTATTAGGTAGTCTAACATCGATTTCAGACGGAAATTTTAAAATACTCATCAGACAAAACTTTATTATTATTACAGAAATGATGCAACTTCAAGTGCTCAAATATTTCATTACATTCAGCTGAATTGACTGAATTTCCCAACAGTATGTCATGTTACATTTTCCTAGAAAAAAATATGACATATTAGTCAGAAGGAAACATCACTGATTCAATTTGATTTTTTTTCTCCTTGCTTTTCTGAATGTTGTTATGCTGTTCCGATATCTAAATTATGTGGAACTTCAAACAGACTTTGTTGCTATCAAACTGAGCTGTCCTGACTTAATCTTAGCCATGAGCAGGAAGTTATTTAACTCAATATAGCTGCCCTTCACTGTGGTCTAAGATGATTCATATTACCTTGCATTTACCATCAGCTCATCACATGCACACAGTCAATGAATGCAACTCAGCTGATCAAGACAAATTCACTATACAACACCTACTAAGACCAATCCAAGGTTGAAGTCTCAATTAATCATAGACTTTCTCCAAAAAAACTGGAAGCACTACACAGGAGAATAACTTAATCTTGCATTGCATCTTCCCAAAAGGACAGATTCTTCTTCTTCTCATGCTTCTTTTACATAGTCTAGTTCTACCTAGCAGCATAAATACTGGAATATTTCAAGTATCAGAAGAGATCCTTGGATTTCTGTTGTTCATAATCTTATTTCTGACACATGCCAGAACTCCTACCATGAGGCTTAAACCATCAAACACTAATAACAACAGCAAGTTAAGCTCACAGAGTTATATTCAAGCATCCTATAATCACACCTTTGTTCTGTTATGTACAGGCACCTATTGGAGAAAACTACTGTATTAATAATTCATGTGAAATTTAAAAAAAAAAAAAATTATTTCTTGTTAACCTCAGATAGAGGAGCAAACACCCAAAAGTCAGGAGCACTGATGTCTTATAGGGATTCTTTAAATGCTTGTAAGAGAAAAAACACATTTAAAAGGTAAAATGAAAGATAAGACAGTAAATTAAGCAATGTTATAAACTTATTCTTTTCTCCTGAGTAAACAGAAATAAAAACTATTGATTAAGGTATGTAGAGCTAAATAAAATATGATTAAGGTATGTAGAGCTAAGAGATATACTTTGCAAGCTGCCCATTAATTCACTATGAAAGGAAATTTTCATTTGCTTGTTTTTCCTAATGCTGAGGGGTTTTTGGGTAAAGCTTCCTTCCTGATTATGTCTTTCAATTAACTTTAGCTGTGGAAAGTGTGAGCTCAATTCATTCAGCTGCTACCAAGATTGAGATGTGGAATACTTACATCAAACAGTTCTTTGCTCACATTGAATTATTAATCATTTTACAAAGGTAATTAGAATGTTTAGGAAAAGGCTTCAAATTTGACAGATCTCATTAATCTACTGCTGTCTAGCAAGTGACAAAAATCAATGAAAGCTTCTTTTTTTCTCTGCAGTGACAGATGAAAAAAAGGGAGATTAAAAAAGAAGTATCCTTCCTGTGAACCTAAGATTTGCAGATCTGAATATCTGCATGAGTCACTACTTGCTACAGGGTTGAAATCTCATTATCTGTTGGATAACTGATAAAGCCATCCACTTAGCTTACTAGCATGTATTTCGTACACGTGGTCTAGAAATTAACAAACTATAAAGGGCAGAAAGAACACACCTTTTGCACACTATTCAAGCCCCACAATAACTAAGATTGAAACACCAAACAAATGCATAGAAGAGCTTTCTACTTTGCAAGAGAAATCAAGCCATTTGCTTTAATTTTTTAATTTGATTTCAGTGTGTTGGCTTCAACCTCTGTCTAAAACTCTGTCATCTCAGTTGGATTTTATTCAGTTATCCTGAGACTTCCTCAGCCTGCATACACACACTGGAGCTGAGGGAGAACAAGTTTAGTCAGTCTGAACTTTTCCCCTGCTATTTTACAATTGCTGTTGTCCCCTGCCATATCTGCTGTTTGATATGACTTTCAAGGCTTTTTTTAAATAACTGAACAATGCAAAAATATTATATGCAGTAATTTCTATGGAAAATGTTATGGTTGGGCATCATTAACATATTACAGTTCTACTACAATAGTAGCCACAGGTCTCCAAAAGCAGTGGAGATTATTGTACAAGTACTGGAAATACGTAAGGAAAAAGTACCATGCTCATGGAATTTACTACCTCTAAATTTTGACTTAGTGATCTATTTCCTGGATAACTGTTTAAGTATTAAAATGCACACAATTCAATTGATGTGCTGTTTTGACAGTAATTCAAAAGCAACAGGGTGTGGCTGGAATCTCAGGCTGTAACACCCTGCAGATCCCTCTGGGTGTGATGAAGAATTTAATGAACAGACATCACATCAGTGCCACAATAACATTCAAACTAACAAGAAAAAAGATTCTTTTTTTAAGCTGTTTTCCAGAACTGGCTGAACTGACATATTAAATATTAAAATTACAAGAAATGCCAAAAGGCAGCATCAGTCCATGAGAAGAACTGCAAAGGTTTCAAAAAAGCCCCGATCTGATTCAAACTGTCTTTCCAAGCAAGAGCAGGGGAGCCATGTCCTACTAAATGAACCATGAAGTTTGTTGAAGCAATTAGTAATCAAACACTTTCTATTTTCAAAAAAAGTAAAGGCACCTTGAAGTAAATCAACAAGCTTAGAGGACACAGTAAGTTAGGCCTCATGCCCTCAACACACAATGGTAGAGTACCATCCTATCCTAACTTCTGTGCACAGCTGTGCCGTTTCACTGCTATCTCATCCATGCAGGTTGGGAATTTATTTCTTACACTACAAATGTCAAGAACTTGGCAGCATGCAACAGACAGGCTAGACAACGTAACACCCATGCCTCTGAGAAATCCAGCATTTCAGATAAGGATCCAAGGTCAGGATTTCATTTGCATGCATTTTATGGTTTTATTCACATTGACATGTAAGACTACTTGGACACATTTGCATAGTATGTCTGAACATCCGTAGTTAAACCTTATTAAGGAGGGACACTTCTGTGATAAACCACTCGTCCATACTTCAAGTTTTTCAAAAACTGAATGTATTTACAGCTTGCCTGCAAGAATAACACTTCTCTGCTGTCCATAAATTAAAAACTGAAACAAAAATAGCCTCAAATGGCAATTTAATGGCAATTAAAATCTTTCCAAATGAATTTAAGTTTGTATCTGCAATACTGACAGACAGCCCATGTTTCATTTTATTCTTGAGCTATTTTGAAATTTTATCATTCCTCTGCTCAATTCAGAATGATCCTTCTCTGCCTTTTAAGAGATCTTAAAAAGCCAAAGGCAGAAACAGAGGTTTGTTGGTGTTTTCATTCCAAGTAAAATGATGCTGGATTACTCCTACTCTCATCCTCCCCCAGCCAGCTGCTCTGTCACTTCTGACATAAATTGGTGTAGCTGCAACTTCCCGTGGCAGCTGGAGATGAATGTGACACCAGTGCCTCTGGTTTGTGCAGCAAGGATGAAGCCTACACTGACATTCCCCACTGCTCCAAGTAATGCTTTATGCACTACAAAAACCTGGAATACCTAAACGCCAAAAATAGTTTTTAAAAGCATTCCCTTGGAACATTGCCTTAGACATTTTATTCACAAAGCTCACACTGAGCTCCTCAGACACTTTGATTTAAATCTCCTTGTTTAGGGAAGTAAGAATGGCATTCCTTTGACTCACTAAGTGTCCCTACTGCAGGCCTCCAAGATAGGTCATATCACACAGCCTACCTCTGCTGTAGCACAAAAAAACCACCATTCATCCATCCATCCCAAAGGGGTTTTAAGGTATCTGTGCCAGGAGGCACTGTAGAAGTGCTTATTCCACCCTATCAGCTATAAAAGAAAGTTCAGGCAGACTAACTCACAGAGGACATCTAAAGCTAGGTGAGATGAATCTCAAGAGTTTTAAATATTTCAACTTGACTCATTTTACGTCCCAGTTCAACAGAAAGCTTAAAACTCTTGGTTTCTGTAAGCTTTCACAATCCTCCTCTCATTTTATCCTACCACTCAGATTCACCAGTATACCTTCAAGTGTCATTAGTGTCCACACTAGCTCATACAAAAAGTTATTAACACTAATCCAGAATCTCTGCAATCATGTATTTCTCAGGCTTTGGCATTTCTGGATTTCTCACCATGTGGCCTTTGGTGGTACTCTTTTAATTTGACCTATATATATATATATATATATATATATATATATATATATATATAAGAAAAAATTACATTAAAGATTTGCCTATTATCCTTCAGACTCTGTTTTCCTGCATCTCAATTTGAGCTTTTGATTTTGTATAGTTTTGAAGAGACTTGATACAACTACGGAATTCACAGGCTAATGATATACACAATTCAAAAACAAAAACAAAGCCAAACCCCAACAAACCAACCAGCCTCAGAAAACAAACATGTTGCAGGGCTTCAATAAAAAAAGTAGCAAGCTCTATTCTAAAGAGTTCATGGCCTAAAAACATTATAAAACCAGGGAAAGGTCAGCAAACATGTTTAGTAATGGCAAGAGGCAGTGCAATTTCCAGAAATGTTTCACAGGCTACTTTTCACAGAAAGTATCTTTTTCAACCAAGTTCATTCTCATCCAGGAACCTACTTAGTTATTTGAAGGGTCCCTACCTTCCCCAAACCTGATAAACATGTGGTGATGTGGCCTGTCCATGAAGTCTCCCAGCGTTAATCAGCACAGCAAAGAAATCCCATTCATAAAACCATTCACATAATTCTCCATCTTACCCAGAAGAGCTATTCTAAGCTATTTTGCTGATCATTCAAATCCAAACAAAAGTTAAAATGCTTTATTCAATGCATTTGATTTTACCTTGAGAAAGGACAAATTGTCACATATATGCAGGATACCTGACAATAAAAACTTATCAAGGTGGGCAGTTTGAGGCCTACATGGTTTTGTATCTCTAACTTTTCAAGTCAAGTAATGTGATCTGCTATTTTTAGAGTCACCTTTTTTATTAGTAGCATTATTTTGACATTTTTTGTACCATCTTCCCAAGAAACTCGAAGTAGTTGAAGTTGAGAAGAAACTTCAGAGACCATCTAGTGCAAGCACCTGCTCAAACCAAGGTCAGCTAGGGCAGGCTGCCCAGGAAGGAACCCAGTTTTTAATAACCAGCATTTGGAGACTGCACAGCCTTGCTGTTCTAGTGTTCAGCCATTCTCACAAAGAAAGGCTTTTTATGGGTTTAAATTGAGCTTTTTGTACAGAAATTTGTGCCTGTTGCCTCCTCTTCTGTCACTGGACATCACTCAGAAGACTCTGGTTCTCTCTAAATTATGTTTCTCTCCTAATACAAGTGCTCAATTATCTCTGGTGGTTCTTCAGTTCCAATCACTGCTTCTAGGGCATGTCTGAGCTGGTCAGTTATTCCAACTGCAGTTCTACTCAACCAACATGCCCCAAGAATTACAGCAGATGACTTACCCTTTGAGCTTTCTCTTTTAACTCCTGATCTTGAGCTAAGAATGCTTGCAGCCTCTTTTGAATATCTGTAAGTTTTTCAGGATTAATTCTAATTTAAAGAAAAAGAAAAAAAAAGAAAAAAACAAGCTTTAATTTTTAGAAGATTTCAAAATAAGCACCTGTTAGGTTCTCAGGAGCATCTTCACATCTTTTGCATTGTTTTAATATGCACAGAGCAATTACCACTGAAATAGCAGAGAATGGAACCATATTAAGGATGAAGATTACACTCCTCAAACAAATAATGCAGAAAAGACAAATGGCAGCTGTTTTATTCAGACAGCTTTCACGGAAGGTAGTGAAACTACAAAGCAAAGCAGAAATCAGCAGAAAAGAACTTCTTGATTTTATAAAAATACTGCAAAAATACAGAAACAGCATAATGAATTATAGTACTACTTTATACTGAAATAAAAGTCTTCATAAGGAAAATGTCAGCATTTTTAAAAGCTTAAATAAGATTCATTGTGCCAGGAATACTGAAATTTAAGTACTTCATAGAAAAAATAGCCAGGTGAGCAATAATAAAGGACATTGAGATGAAACAGATTTAAGAGCTTCTCAAGTAAATAAAGAATATTGACTGCACTATAAAAATCGTCATTAAACCTACTAAAAAGATATCTGGTCCTCTCCCAGATTCTGAATGTTTAAACTAATTCCAGTGATACCTACATTATTGCAGATTTATTTGCCCAGATGTCATCTACTTTTGAGCTGCTACTGCCACCCCAGTGTATCATAAAACCTAGCAAACATGGTGGGAAGTTATTCTTACTAAATATGAAAACAGATATCAAGCTTCTTTCCCTTACAATCCCAATTTCTTCACTCTGTTCAGATACAGCCAGGGGAAAACTACAGTGTACAGAAGCAGTATTAGCGACAGTTTTAGTGAAAGACCAAAAAACATGAGTTCCAGTTTCCAGACAACACATAATTTGCTCTAAAAATTTAAAAGCATAAGACAGAAAAAAAGAAGCGTGAAAAATTGAGTGGGGGACAAACTGACCAACAAATCTTTGAAATATAATGATACAAAAAGTAAAGAAGGGATAGCATGAGTTATAAAAAAATTAATATGAACACCAGTAGTAAGACAGTCCAGAAAAGTGTTGGATTGCTGCTAAGTTATGGGAAGGATATTAAGAGATGACCTCAAAGCCCTAAAATTAGCCAGTGCCTTTTTTCCTTGTCTTCACTCCAAGTGGCAGCTGCAGTCAGTCAGCTAACAACAGCTACAGCAGAGTGCAAGCTCACACCAGAATCAAAATCATGGGAGACCAAGTACTCTGATAAATCAGCTGGGTCAGAAGAAATCGCTCCATAGCAACTAGAGAAAGTAAAAGCACTTGGAGTCACAGTTGTATCTAATCTTAACAACTCATCAAGATGAAGGAAAAAAAAATCCTATCCAAAAGGCCATATAAATACAGTGCTCATATTCAAAGGGGGCAAAAAGGAAGTTAATTGTTTAACTTTTTCTTGATACCAAAAAAACCTAATTTGTAAGGACCTAAAGAAAATAAGCAAATCCACAACACCTAACACAGCTTAGTCAGAAGCCAAATATGATTAATCTGTTTGATTATCCTCCATAGCAGCATTAGCAGGTTTTAAGAATGGGAAAGAAATAGTAGATGTTGTATTTGGTTTCAGGAAAGTATCTGGCAGTGGTACATTCTCATAAAATAGGGAAATATGGTCTATGTGAAATCTTAAATGGAAAAATGGCCTTGGAGCACTTCTCAAAGAGTAGCTGAGACTGCAAACTACTTCCTGCTGCCACTGTCAAACTCAAAATGCTTATGAAGTTCCAATTTTCACCTGGACATGCTATTACTCATTATTTTCTATGACTTGATTATTGTAGGAATATGATTCATTATTCCTAAGAGACTATGTGTCATTGAGGCTCCAAGCATAACAGACAACAATTCGACACAAAATACAGTCACATTTTGTAGACTGCATCCAAATTTTGAGTAATTTGATGGAAATTTGCAAGAAAAGGGTTTGAAAAAGACAAAAACCCCAAAAACAAGAACAAGACCCTTCACATTTAAAAGAATGGCTAGATAATGTGGTATAAATCTAAGCAATGTCAACTAAGAACATGGTACCCTAGGCACATTTTGAGCTTATGTGTTTGTTAATGAATGAGCAAATTTGCAGCACTGACTACCAAAAAACAGAAGCAGTACTGAATTCTCTCTTCTCTAACACTGTATCATGACAGTCATCCACTGTCATCTTCCTCTCATGCTGAGATTCAAAAAATGAGAAAGCTGGCCACTGTTAAACTGGATTTTGGCTATAATGAGTTTGTATGTTATTTCTTTCTGAAAAAATAAAACACTTTACAATAAATTGTATACATGTGACTATTAGGAGAAGCAAACCTAAAAGCTAAACAGTGAAATTAGTTATCATCATTTATAAGCTTGCCTAAATGGCAAGAACCAATGAGCTAAAACCTACTATGCAAAGGCTAGAAGGGGATTTTACAACATGGTCTGCCATTTTAAGTAGGCTGGTTATTTCTTACTCTGTGATCACATATCTTACCTTTAAGGAGTAGTAGAACTTTCTGAAGCTACAGTTTTGCCTACCAGTTGCATGGCCACACTTGACTATGCCATGATGTAAACACGTACCCAGCTTGCCTGGCCCTATGTATGATCAGACAGCAATCTCCAAATTTTCTGGTTGATACACATTTTGATTTCCTCTCATTATCCCTGGTCTATACACTAGGGTACAAGCACTGTTTTAACTAGGCATTGTCCTTCCCCCACTCTTCTCCAAAATAGAATTTAAGCAAAAAAGATCAACAACCACCTAAAAGACCCTGTTGCAGCAGAACAGTTTCCAGATGTCCATCCAGCTTCCAAGCAGCAGCAGCATGTTTTGCTCTGCACTCTCAGTGTGAAGGTGGCTGCCTATGGTTCCACTAGACACCCTGAAGGCTGGAGGGAGGGGGAAGGGCTGGCACCTAGGGAAGGCTCACCCAGCAGATCACACACCGGTGCAGAACCACACTGAACAGTGACACCAGTCCTACAGTAACTATGGCAACTGGGAGGCAGTGAGTTTTAACAGATCCCCTATATTAATACTACCAACGTGTGGGATACACATCCAAATGTTATCCACTGTGAGAAAGAAAAAAGAAGGGAAAAAAGGTGTTTTGTTGTTGTTTTTGCTGTTTTCCTCAAAAAACACCTTTTTTGCCATAAAATTAAAGAAAGTGATACTACATCATGGGTATCTATATACTTGCACTTCCTTTGGTAAAATTTTCTAGACACAAAATCTGTTATGGCAACCCCTGAGGAAGCAGCTCTTATCTTTTTACCCAACAAAGTTAGATGCAACAAAGTAACCTCAAAATACTACCAAAAATAATTTAAATTTACAGCTTGCATGGTAAACTTGGAGATTACAGACTCGTTTAAAAAATGTACAAACCATTTAATACTTTCAGAGTACCTTTTTGCCATATTTAAATGCTCTAAGCTATTGTATTTATTATTGCATATTTTGCACTTTTTCTTGCTCTTTTTGAATAATGAAGAAGTTACGTACTGTTAAAAGCACTACCTGTAATATGGCAGCTTGTGCTAATTAGAAGGGACTAGTTTACTGAAAACCTCTACTGGCAGCTTAGATCTAAAATTGAAAATTAAGGAAAGAGCCTAAACCCTAGTCCTTTGAACAGGTATCAAGGAAAGTTCTTCCTTTCTCTACTTTCAAATTATGGAACTGTTTTAAAGGTCTGTCTAGATGAAATAAAACAACATCAAAAATAGTTTGCAAATAAAAAAATACAAAATAAGGAAAGTAACAGCATTCTTACGACCACTGTACCAGACAACAGGTCAATAAGAACAGCCAAAAAAGCACTTGAATATACAACATTTTAGAAACAAGCTTTTGAAAAAAAGCTTTCAGAATGAATTTCAGAAACTTGAACAGGTAAATTCTGTTGGGAGTGAGCAATGCTCATTATCTTCTAATTCCCAAGTTAGAATTCTTAAGAATCTATAATTAGGTGAATAAGCACAAACAACAGGAGAAGACTTCACCACAAGACCTGGAACATGATCCATGGGTTCACGCAACTTCTTAAACAATTTATAAACTGACAAAACAAACTGGCCTTATATTAATTGGGAAACTGGCTGGAATCAAACAGCATGAGAAAATCTGTAGTTAAAAACTTCTAGAATTAAATTGGTTTGCAATCCACAAGTAATTACAAGAATAACTTTTTAAGGATTTTAGTTAGCCTTTTACAAGGACAATGCTACAAATTTTAAATCATAACACACTAGGCAGACAATTCTAAGTGAAAGCATTCCCCTTCATTATAGTGTTATAAATTCTATTAAAGTTTATTTTGCAGATTGAAAATCTGGATATTGGGGCAGGATGTTAAAATATGTTATTAATCAAAACCCTTGACTTTTCTAATAATTATTCCAATTAAGAATATTTCTTAAATGTACTTAAAATACATATGTCCTAGTGGCTTGATACAAGAAGGAATTTCTGGGGTATTATTAAAAAAAAATAAAGCAGCAGAGTTTTCCATCAAAGTAACATCACATTAACAACAATATGTTAAGAGATGCAACCATTAATGTCTCTCTAGAGACTCACCTAACTTGGATAATAAGTATAATGTGCATTTATTGGGGGTGAAATATTTGCCCTATTAAAATTGGATTATTATCCCTGTACAAAAACATGTATTTCTATTTACATGGATAAATACAGCCTAAAGAGGTTATTTTACCACTTCCTTTGATAAGCTGGTCAAACAACACCATTACTTACAAAGTTAAAAGCGTAGCTGACAAAGAAACGGGAAAGAAGAAATATTTATAATGTGCATGAGATCAGACATGTATTTACTGAATATAAAAGAAAGATAAATTACTTCAATAACTACCATTTTAAGATGGAAAAAGATGGAAGTTTGGAAGGAGAAAATTTACTGCAGTGGTTATACAACAGATCCTTCTAAAGCACTATGATGCTTAATGGAAAAGAAAATGCCAGATTCAGTTCCTTTACCGATATTATCCACAGTTGGTGAGGTTTTGTTTGGGTTGTCATTAAGTAGTTGTTGGACTGCATTATAGTCCTTATTTCACTGTTTTAGCAAAAATTGTTTATATTTGAAGTTGGTCCACATCCTGCATGGATTTGATAAGTGTTTAATGAGAAAAGGTGGATTTATTTCACCAGCTGCTGTGTACTCAGTTTGTTGCACAGAAATAGCAGTCACAGGTACAGTTCAGAAGAGCCTTTGAAATGGCATATCCTATACAACATAAATACTTTAAAAAGTAAAATTAAATGCAGAAAGTGCTATATGCATTGTTTCTGTTCTCTGAAGAAATGTTCACCTGTACATTTTGAGCAAACCTGAAGATTAAGCAATGAGGTGTAAATAACCACCTAAGGTTTCATCCTAATTTGATTTCTTCTCAAAAACAATTGTTCTACGTAGAAATTCAGTATAGGTAATTCCCTTCTTTGCTTAGTATCTGTATCTTCACATGCAAACCACAGCTTTTCAAAGTAAAACAAGCCTAGCTTTGCTCATATCCACTCATACAGAAACTTACATTTTCTACCTTGTCATCCTTCTCTGATTTCTTTTATCTCTGCTGTACAATTTTTGGCATGGTGTGACCTGAACTTTTAAAGTGTTAAAAATGGAGTCAGGCTGTTATCACATTTTCTGGCTTGTTTTCAATTCTTCCATATTTCCTTCACATTCTCTTTTCTCTCTTAATTCAACATCAGACTGACAGGCTCAGAAAACAGTAAATTCCTTCCTACATATAGCTGCTAAATAAGAAACTACCATCGATTTTTTAGTGGTGGTCTTTTCTTTTAATATTTTTACAGTTAGGATTTTTGTGTTTCCTACATATCCATTACTCTGCATTTAACAGAAAATGGAAACATGCTTTTTTATTTTCACCTGGTATTGTTATATGCTGCTGCAACTCCTTCAAAAGCAGTTCTATTTGTACAGATAACATAGCTCCTTACAGGTTTCCCTTGGAACACTCTTTTTAGTATGTAAAATTACCATCTTTCACTTCCTGTCTTTCAACTAACTGATTCAGAAAGGTCATGACAAGTTGAAGAAAAAGTCCAGAACTAAAGAAAAAACAGATAAGAGAAACAAAAATGATAACAGCAATAAAAACATACAGGGACAGATTAAAGAAATTGTAATTGTTTAATCTGCAAAAGAGAAAGAGAGCATTATCATGCTCAATTACATAAAAAGAAGCTGCAGAGAGTAAGAGAATACATCACTTTCCATATATTCTTGGCACAAGGCAAAAGAAATATTTCATTTAAATTACTTACAAGTCTTATCAGACACTTGAAGAAAAAATGTTAAAGGTAGTAACTGTTGAGTACAGATGAGGTCTCTTTGGGAAACTGTGAATATATTAATTGGCATCTGATAAGAATGATTTGTGCAGCTCATCCTGCCTATGAGAACAGCAATAAAATAGGTAACCTCTCAAGGTCTTTTCCTTCTACAACACTACCAAAACTAATTCATTTCCCTGATTTGTCCAGCTTCAGGCAATAAAAATACTTTATCAAGATTGTCATAGACTCATCACAGATTACTCTTGCAGAAAGAAGGTTGAATAACAGGCAGGGCAGCAGGGCATTAGCCACTTACTTGATTTCACTGATAGGTACTTTCCTCTGTGCCAGCTGTTCCACCATCCCTTTTTCTTCTGAAGGAAGCAATACCAACAAAGCTTCACCACCTTCTTTGTACCTGATCAAAAGGGGACAAAAAAGAAACCTCAAGCAAACATGAAAAAATTAGTTTTTGCTGATGTTTTCAAGAGCCAATGAGAATTTACATTTGATTCCTTATAAACAGTCCAAAGAATGAACAAAACTTTTCACTTAACAAAGGAAAAAGAAGAGGCAAACCAGTTAAGTGACTTGCCAATATCCCTACTTGAGCTGATTTTAAAACTATGCCTGGAGTTCTGAACATCTGGGGCTAAGACATGGGTTCAGACCAGTGAATCTTCTCCTCCCTCAGTTTGAGTATTAGTGGCAAACAAATAGCACTTGATCAAAGCTTACTTTGACTACAGGACTAGAAAATCCAGCTACTTGCATTCAGCATTTGCCAGGTAAGGTTTCAATAGGTAATCAAATAGGTAAGGTTTGATTTTGAGAAAAAATCAAATAGGTAAGGTTTAACACTTGGTAAAAACTGATTCTCTTTGCATATTCTGCAAGCCAAAGACAGGGAAAGGTTAAAAAAGGATAAATGCCTTGGTCTCAAATAACAACCCCTTGTTACATGTTCAGTAACAGCTAACAGGTCACAGTGACATCAAGGAAAGTAAAGCATAAAAATAGGAGCTCTTTCATTTATAGAAGCAGTTTCCAGATGCAAAACAAAAGATACAATCAGACTGATCCCATAAGAATGTATCTAGCATTCACTCTTCAGTGCACTTAACAGCTGTATCAAATGTAGATGAGCTGGTAATTACTCAAGATACATGGTTAGCAAAGACATTAAAAAATCAGCTAATTTATGCTTAAAGCATCTTCCTGAGCATTTTCTCTTTGTGCAAGAAAATATCAGTTCCTGCTTTCGGCACATTTACTGACTTCAGTACCTTCATGTAGAAAAAAGTACCCAATAGCATTAGCAAGCAAACAACACAGTGGGTTTAAGATCTCCTGAAGAAGTGGGTAATGAGCTTGCAGGCACCAAGTCTCTATCCACTGTAGCACTGTATACACTGTTTCCTTGTTTATATTTACAAATACTTCTAAAGACTACAGATTGATAAGAAAATACTGCACAGTCCCTCATTACAAAAACAAAATTCCAACTGAATTTCAGAAATATGCCAGAAATGGACAGAATTCAACTCATCACCAACTGATGAGAGCAATCTGCAGGACAAAGCAAAACAAAACTGGTAAGTTGCTCTGTAGAGCAGCTTTAAAATCCCTTCTTTAGGGAGGCCAGGGAGCACAGAAGGATATTCTCAGGCACACCAAACATGAATCATACCATTAAAACTGATAAAAATCATTTCTAGTGGAATACAGGGAGCCTACATTTCTCCAAGGATAAACAGTTATCACTTGGCAAAAACAGTACTGCAGAATTGTTTGAAAACTATAAACACTATCTGTCACAGCACAGTAAGCAATGCAAGTAGAAACAAAATCTGCAGTTAAAACAGTCTGACAGCTTTTATTACAGCTTTCTGCTTTCATTTGATGAATTTGAAAAATCACAACAAAATGCTCTTGGATGCCTGGGATTTTTTTTTCTTCAATGTATGTATGATAGGCTTGGATACCAACTTCTGAAGATCATCTACAAGTGTCTAGTAAATGTTTACATCATGAAATTTTAAACTTTACATTCTAGATTTTGAAATTTTACATGGAAATAAAATTGATATAAGAGAAGAATCTCAGTTACATGCCAACATCATGTAAATTTACTGATTATAAATGGATTGATAAAAGTACGTTGTTACTGTACAAAAACTATAACGATTTAAATCCATTTCATTAGTAGACCTACAATGTTCTCAATACAAAAAATATCAGCTTGTACAATCTATCAAAAAAGAGTTCTAAAGCAATACATATATTTGTCTTAATTTATTATCTTTACCAAGCATGCTGTCCCAGCTGACCAAACATCCCATGGAATGTCTGCACCCTTTATACAATAACTAAGGTTGGAAAGAACTTGCTTACATGGACCAAGTGCATCTTTTACAGAAGTTCTATATATTTCAACCTAACCAAATTACAAATTACATACCTACAAGGTGGGTACCTGTTGGACACTGCCACTATCTGAACAAGCAAGGAAATCCTGGAAAGCCACTGAACCTTAGAGGACTTTGTATTTTATTGTAAAAACTGATGATCATACTACCGAGACAACCAATTACTCATCAAAAGAAGCTGAGCTCTCAGAGCACTGTTGGAAAAAATATTCTCTTGTATCTATCAAAAAGGAAGACAAAGATAATATTGCTGCCAATCCCAGTCTCCCCAGTTTAGAGTACAGAATAATGCAGTTCTACTTTTCTCTCCAAAGTAGATGATATGAAAGGATAGGACTCCAACAAGAGCTACGTGAATGATCTGGTATCTGCAAAAAATGTCTCTTAAATCTCTTAACAGTCTTTGTCATTTGTCAAGAAAAGTCTTGACTGCACTGTATATACAAATGATGTTTTCAGATTCCTTAAAGTTAGCCAAAGGCATGGATTTGTGTAGTTTTGTTGCTCATGGTATTTCTTATCCCAGAGTGCCTGACTTGGCATTATTAAATTGTTTCTTTGTCATATCTCTTTTGTTCAGTGTGCAAAACACTGTGAAAGGCCAGTGTCATAGAAATTAAGAAGAAATACTCAAAGGGCAGAGAGTCCAGATATCCTCTCTACAAGCCACAAAACCAAAATCTGCAATGATACAGTACAGCAAAAACCATTCTATGCTTGTTTTGTTTTTATAGCTTTCCAGCAGTATCCAAGAGGCCTCTCTGAAACAGGATTCAGGATCAGATAAACCTTCACTCTGACCCTTAAAAATTTATTTTGTGTTATTAGTGCTAAACTCTTTGTATGCAGAGTCAGTAGCTGCTTCATAAAGTACAAATCCTAAAGGCACATTCCATAGGTAATACACCAAAAAAGCCAAGCATCACATCTGGTATTTATGGACAGCAACTATTTCAATGTTTACATTAAGTCTTGCAAATCCTTTATGTAGACAAAGTAGTAGCACAGATAAGTAAACAAACAACCACATGAAAATATAGATCTGGAAAAGAGAGGTTTTCAAGCACCTCTACTTTCTCTTTTTTTTCCACTGATTGAGGAGGAAAAAAAAAGCAGCAGAGAAATATTTCTCAGAGCTAAGTCTTCAGAAATTCTAAAGGACTGAAAGACATCTAGTAACTAATGCAGTGCAATCCTTTCCCATACATGTTTTGGAAACATTCTCTTTTAAATGCTAATAGTTTAAAAATATTTGAAGTTAAGGAGGAACAGTCTTTGCCCTTTATACCATAATCGTGACTTAATGAAAACAAACAGTTTAATAACAACACTGTTCTTCAGAGCTAAACACAAAAATGAAAACATCACAGAAATGATAAAGCTAAAAACCAAAGGATCTTAAATACCATCTGGGAAGGTCTGTATCGATTGAGTGGACGTTCAGTTAAAGAAAGCAAAATGCAGCCTATAAAACAGGAGATTTAGTTGGGCAGAGTATTATCTTATTTCTCAAAAAAAAAAAAATCCAACCTCATAATGTGCTAATCAGAAAAATATTGTGTTAAAGATCATCTCAAGAAGAGAGGCTTCAGTGTAAAATTTAACTTTTCCAAAGTGTTCCCTCTGCATATTTCATACTAAAAGCTTCCGTACTGGCAAACTTAGGAAAGGACAAGCTACTAAAAACTGGCATAAACAGTAACAAAAACAGTTAGACCTGCTCAGAATTTGTTTCCGTTACAATGCCTAAAGAAGGAGAAAAGAACACCCTTTACTATCCTACAGGAATAAAGTTCTCCACTAAAGCAACCAAAGGAACATCTCTGTAATTATTTTCAGCACACAAATAAAATGCTTAAACAGATGATAAAGCAACGAAAAAACAACCTTGGTTACTGTAATTCTTCAGCAAGAGGACTACCTCTGCAGATGAGACAATATTAGAAGTTCTCCCTATTCTTGCTCACTGCAGCCTTCAAGTTGTCCATCATCACCAAAACCAAACATCTGTCCTAAAATGCTAATTTACTCTGGTGATTTATTATCCAATAAGTATGCACTTTGACTCTGCTGAAGAAAAGTAAATTAAAAACCTGAAAGTAATCAAACTTTCTTGGACTGTGTAATAATTGATGACATCCTGTCATCTCTTCAAGGTGATCAAGAAACCAGAGAAGGGACTCATCTTTACACTGTGATCTTAAGAGTCTCTAAGGGTATATGATTTATTCCAAGTCCATGGAAAACTGTATCTTACTTGCAGAAAGTCCTTGGAGGAAAAAAAAAAAATCACTTCTAGTTCCTATCTGCTTTGTTTTCTAGAGTCTACTGACTTCAATATGTTTGAAAAAGGCAAACAACTTCTCTGCAACTCAATCACGACTTGCAAGCAGGAAGCTGTGAAAATCATCATTAGTTCTATAAAGCAAAGGGTTATATTTACAGCGACTGCAGATGAGAAAAAGAAAGATGCCTACAATCAAGAGCAAGTGCCAAAGGCAGACAAAAAGGAAGTGGGATTAATTACTTACAACCTTACAACAATGTGGTAGTGGCTAATTACCAGTAGAGAAAAATGGTTTTAAAATGTTCACAACACCATTTCCTTAGCAAAGAAACACAAAGCGTTGCCAAATAGCTTCACTTGATTAAAAAAAAAAAAAAAAAAAAAAAACCAAAAAAAAAAAAAAAAAAACAAAAAAAAAAAAAAAAAAACACTAAAACTAAGAGGGTAGTTTATGCACCATGACAGAATCTATCTTAAACTTCTAAAAATCACCCTGAGCCAACAGCTGGTATCAAACATGAAGAAACAGAATGGCAACAGTCCAGTGAAGACAGGATGGAGAAAAAATGGCTTTCATGCAGGACAAACAGACACTCAATTCTTCCCTAATTTTACCCCATCTTAACCCATCCTTGATCAGATCCAGTCCACAGCTGCATATACCCCTAGGCAATATCATTAAATTAAACATTACCGTTATCA